TAGTAGTGTATAATTAAATTTGATAATAAGGATTTATCAATAAAAATATGGGAATTAAAAAATCATACATGTATAAAAACACTCATTGGTCATGAACATAGTGTATCAACAGTATAATTTTCTGACCATGGAGATTTTATATTGAGTGCCAGTAGAGATAAAAATATAAAATTATGGGAGGTTTAGACAGGATTTTGTAAGAAAACATTCTCTGAACATTAAGAATGGGTCAGATGTGCTGTATTTAGTAATGATGAAAAGCAAATGGCTTCTTGTTCTTAAGATTAAATGATTTATATATGGGTGATAGATAGTGGATAAGTTTTACATTAATTAAGTGGACATGAACATGTAGTTGAATAAGTTAAATATGTCCCAGAACATGGGGCTAAACAAATACTGACTTAACAATAACAGCAAAATATTTAAACTATTAATTTATTAGTTTCTGTATCAAGAGATAAAGAAATCAAAATTTGGAATACTATTTTAGGAACAAATCTATTTACATTATCTGGACATGATAATTGGGTAAATGGAGTATCTTTTCATCCAGATGGTGTTCATATGCTGTCAGTATCTGATGATAAGACTATTAGAGTATTTATAATATATTTATAATAGGTTTGGAATTTGAAAGAATAGAAATAAAAAAAGAAGATTGAAAATGCTCATGATAAATTCATTTTAAAATGTGAAATAAATAAATTTATATTCGCCACATGTTCAGTAGACCAAACAATTAAATTATGGCTATTAAGTTGATCAAATAAATAATATTTATCAAAAATATGTTAAATAAATTTATTTAATTATTTATGATTATATTATGATATATATTAATATATTATAATCACAATCTTCTTCTTAAATTCCATACTGATTAAATATGCTATTCAAATTGAATATCATCTTCAATTAACAAATTTAAATTATTGTAATATCCAATAAATTCCTCAAAAGTTACGTTTGGATTTTTCACATAATCTCCACCTGTCTATAAATATTAATAATATTATTACAAAAACGATATGATGTTATTCAAAAGTATCAATAAATTCACATAAAACATCATCCTCTCTTTTTCTATTGGCTCTAACATCAGGATGATCTTTTGCATTGAATTATTCTATTATTAATTAAATTTTAATTACATTTAACTATATCAATTGTAGTCTTAGGAAGAGATTCAAATGCTTATTGAACAGCATTAAACTTCCTTAAACTCATTGTACCTTAAATCTATTTAATGAATCCACTATAATTCATCATTCCATTTGTTTGAAATTATTGGAAAATATCATCTAAAATTTATTCACTTATATCCAATCTCCATTACTTAAAGCAATTCTTCCATTCTTAATATGATAGAGCATTCAAATGAGATTTATCATATAACTAAAATCTATACTAAATATTGATTAAACCTCTTAAGCCTCTTTAAGAGATTTTATTTCTCAAAATTTAAATATTATCCATCTTTTATTTGTTTGATTTAACACTTTATTCTCTTTCATATTATTATTATTATTGAGATTATTATGAAATTTATGATTAAGAAAGTGGTATTTATTATATTTATGATCCATTTTAATTAACTTTGACATCTTCTAATGGTTTAAATATATTAAATGAAGCTGGTTAATTATAACCAACAGAAGGTCTTGATTAAGCTAATTATTCTTATTAAGTAAATGTTCCAAATGGTGCATTTGCAGAAACACTACCTCCTTATAAAACAAATCTATGATGATCTTATAAATAACCTCTTTTATGATCTGGTTCAAAAACTTATTTATTACCAGCATAATGATTCTTACTTCCATCTTACAACAATCTAAATACATTTACAATTATCTATTCAAAATATTTATCATCAGGTATTGAAGCACTATAATTACTAAAGAATTCTAATAATTCTTCTTTTGTAATATTTTCATGTCCAAATCCTCCATTAATATTATGTAATAATTATAATGGTTCAAAAAAGTCTTAGATTATTTCATCATCACTTTTCTTTCCATTTTTAAGATCTGGATGATTTCTACATATGAAATTATTTCTTAAAGTTTATAATGAAACATAATCGTTAGTTCTATATTTTTCAAATAGTTATTCTACTAATTAAGTTCTTAATTATGACATTTCACCTCTTAATACAAACATAAAACCCCATAAATCTATTAATCCTGATTACTCTCTATCAAAATATTAGAATACTATATCAATTTCTGGATCAGTCACTTCAATTTTATGATCTCTAATAGCTTTTCTAAATTCTGTTAAATTTAACATTCCATCATGATCAGAATCCAAGATCTTCCCAACTCTATACAATTAAATAAAACCTCTTGCTCCTCTTGATATCAATCTATTTCTTATCCTTTAGACTATTAATTCAACTTATCTAGATGTTGATGACATTTATGATGCATTAGATTAATGAGATTTAACTGATTTAGGAACAGATTAACGTTCTTATAATTATTGTTAATTTTATTGATAAGATTTTACAGATTTATCTTAAGATGGAGAAAAATTTAATTATTAAACAATTTAAGGATTAGCAATTATGTTCTATTATTAAGGAGAATAATTTAATTATTACTATTTAATACTTTAGGGAGGAGTGCCATATTATAAAGCTTATTGTTATAATTAATTGAGATCCCAAACTGAAACTAAAATTGTTTTAAAGATTTCATCATTTGTCAGATAAAATCCAAAATAAGAATAAAAATCAAAAAAATCTTGTATTGTTAGCATTTTAATTCCTCTTAATTGTAGATATACACTTAATCCTGATAAAAATTCTTCTCTAACATCATTAGGAGATCTATTTAGTATTTTAATTTCAGGATGTCTTTCTGCATTGAATCTATTTACTAATTATTATGGACTGATTTCTCTTTATTCAAATGTGTAAAATACATCTGAAACTACTCCTTATCTTGATTAATTCAAATATTGACCCTTAATTTAATTAATCAAGTTTGAAGCACTCATATACTCTCCATTGAATAATTAATACAATCCATCCACTTCTATATTATTTCTTTTCAAATAATCTTGTAATTATTAAGCAGTAAACTAATTTGGTAAACTTATTGCTAGATTCAAAATGCCTAATGCTCCTTTTAATTATAATTTTAATCTTAGTTATTCTAATGGACTTCCTGTTTATACAATTCTTGATTCAGCTTATTCTTCTATTTATTGTTTACCAACCACTCTATTGATAAAATCTTTATAATATAGTTATTCATCAAATGAGTAAGTCATCCAAAGTCTTTCTCCAAACTAAAATTATTATATCTTTATACTTCTTAATCTGGAATGGTAACACCTGCTTTTGCTATCGCTTTCAAAAATTCTTGCTTCTTCAAATATCCTTCATTGTTTAGATCAAAGAATTTGAATATTTTTAGTAAAACTGTTTCAACACCAATTCTTGAGGAAGCTTTGAATTAAAGTTTTGTTACAAGTTCTTTTTCAAATTACTAAATATCCATTTAACGATAATTTAAATTGTAATTTTATCAAAGACATATCATCATACATTTACTAATAATAATTGACAAATATATTCAATATATGATAAAATTTAAAAAAAGTTCCTCAAACCTAACAAATATTAATTAGCTATCATATATTTTATATATTGAAATAATATTAGGTTATTTTCTATAATCTCTAACTACTAAATGATCTCTTCTTAATCATAGTTATATTTATACAACTATATTCTAATATTACAACTATTTAGGAATGGATTAATATTTTATAACAATTAATATAATTAGATGGAGTTTAAATTAAGAAATGAATAAATGATAGCATATCATAGAAATCGAGAAGACTATGAACCTTAACCAGAGGATTGTTTACAATTTGCTTATGGTGATCGGAGATATGTGAAGATGACAAACTAAATATTTGCAAGTGAAGATGTTTTGAAACTGAAGAACTTAGAGGAAATTAATGAAGATTTGTAATTTGTTTCTATTAATAAAATGATTATAGCCATAGAGGAGATTTTATAACATTGGCTTTATTATCAAGTGATATTTTGGATGTTTTAATGAGCCACTTGTCTAATTCTCATGAGTAAATACGAGAACTCTCTTCAAGCGCTATAGTAAAAATGTTATAATAAATAATAAGGTGTTAATAAGTTCAATAAAATTTGGAAGAGATAAAATAATGGAAAAGTGTTATGTTCCTACAATTATGAAACTTCTGAATGATTAAATAGTTAACATTAGAAAAAATGGATATTCAAGTTTATTAAATATGACAGAGTTTTAATAAGGTAATTGTAATGATAATTATTATTTGTAGGAGTTGATCATGTATATTCATAAGGAATTTTGGTGCCATTAGTTAATAAATTAGTTGAGGAAAGTGTTGAGGATTTATTGATTTTGGATTTGCAGTTATTAGAGAAAATATTGTATTGTGGAGATGCTTAAGTTGAAATACTAAAAACATAGGCAATTAAAAGATTGACTTAACTTTTAAAAAGAACTAATTTTAAATTAAGATCTTTAGCTTGCAAGAATTTGGCTTGTATTTCGTATGATTCAAGTGGAAAACTAGATGTTATTAATTAAGGATGTGTTCTTGAATTATGCTCAAGATTATTAGATGATCATAATGAAGTCATTACTAATGCAACTATGGCTTTGGCTAGTTTGGCATAGCATAATGAATGCAAATTTTAAATGATGGATAATAATAAACTAGATATTGTTATTAAATTGCTAGATCATAATGATCATCAAATCAAATTGAATAGTGTTTAATTAGTAACAAGTCTTGCTGAACATCCAAAAGGTAGAAAAGAATGTTATAAATGTTTACCTACACTTCAGAACTTTTCAACAGATACTTAATATGAATATATTAGGCCCTATGCTATATAAGCCATTGAAGTCATTAAATGGGAACCTTGAAAAATAAATTATTATATATTTTACATTATATTATATTTATAATAAATGGAAAGAGATTCCTTTTATAATAATGAACATTAAAATGATTTACAACCCTATAAACCAAGTATGTTTTGAAAACAAATTAAGTTTAGGAATAAACCTTCTTTGAAAGGTTTTCATTTAAATCTTTAACATTTAAAACAACAGTAGTTTAATTCATAATCTTCTTTTTAACAATTTTTCACACAATTTATTTGATTGAGAAATATTTGGTAAATGATGGTGATGAATCTGATATTTATAGTTTTAAATGCGTTTTATACACTTGGGGTTCTAAACATACTCCTTCTATTATATACCGTTATTAATTTTGGAGATTAGTTTGTCCTATATTTCTTCATGGATCCTTTTCACATATTATAGGCAATATGGTTGTTTAAATATATTATGGATTCATTCTAGAATTAACTCATGGATGGAAAAGAGTTTCAATTCTCTATATCGTTGGGGGAATAGGGGCATCTTTATTCTCATGTGTTAGATTTCATTATGAAACATCAGTAGGTGCTAGTGGATCTATATTTGCTTTATTAGCCCTTGAATTAATTTATTTTATAACTACTTTTCCTGGAATTGAACCAAAAAGAATTGTTGTACTTATATTATTAGCTCCAATGATTTTCTTATCTTTTATTGATTCTCCTCCTTAAGTTGATATTGCTGGTCATTTAGGGGGACTTGTAGTAGGATTACTTATAGGAATAGGATATGCATTTGCTGATGCATAAAGCAATATGTATTAATAATTATAAAAATAGAAAACAATAATGCTAATACATTTTTTATGGTTTAGTTGGACTATTATTTATTTATATTTTTACAATCTTATACCAAACAAAATTGGAAGATGAAAAAATATGCTAGGGAATGAATATTATTTGAATTCTAATTTTATTTTATATAAACTATAATATTTATAAATGAATTATGTAATTAAATAAACAGAATAATTTTTAAGGGCGCTTAAAACATGCCATTCTATTGATTAGAATTTACATTGTTACTTTTCAAATGAGGGTATATTAAAATTTATATAAATATAGGAATTTTATTATTAAGCAACTATGAATAGTTTGAGGATGTTGATACTAAAAAGCCCACTTTTTTTTGTTATTTCAACTCTACTTCATTTGAATAAGTCCAAACTAATTCAATTCATTTCAAAATGCCTTAAACATTGTCACCTGATCTATAAATCAAACTTTAAAAGCTAAACGCTTCTTTAGATAAATTAGTCTTTGAATTAAACATTCTATAACTATATACTAGTTTAAAACCTTTTAAAAAATAAATTAAAAGAATAGAGATTTAAGTTTATTACACTATTTCGCAATTGAGAGTCATATAAAAATTTAAAATGATTGTATTTTTTAAAGATTCATTTTTTACTATCGAATGTCCAATTATATAGTTGGATGAAATTTAATAAATGGAATTGATAAGAAAATACATGGAAAACAGAAGACATTTAGAAGTTTTAGAGGTTGATTCAGAAATCTCTGAATACTTAAATGACTTTAATTAAAAAGAAGCTATTTAATTTATTTTGAAAAGAAATAGCATAGAAATACATCTAAATAGTTAAAAGCAAGAAACTACTCTTGAATTAAATAGTGGATTTTTAACTTAATATAAATTTGATGATTTCACAAATATCTATAAAAATGTTAATACAATTAACATTGAGCCAAATGTTTTAACTCCTTTTCATGGATATGGATTCAAAATTTCAATTTCAAAAGATGTCAATCAAAAACCTAGGATATTTATATCTTAAGATTGGTAAGATCAAATAAGTATGGTATTGAAATCAATTACAAGTCTTGTTAAGAAAATAAAAATTATCTCAATTTTAGATGATGATTGCAATGAAGATGAATTGTAACATTTATTTCTATTATAATTTAAGATTAGATATTATAGCTGAATATTAGACTGATAGAGTTTAAGAGTAGGAATGCTAATAAATTGAAGAACAATAAGTCAGAAAAAAGATTAAAATGAATTTAAAAAGTTGATTCGCATTTTTATACAAATAAATGCTAATTTATTATGTAATGATAATATAGTGATGAAAAGATTGTGTGAAAATTTAATGTACTATTTTGTAATAATAGCCTGATTAAATCACTTTTTCTGTGTATTTTTAACTTTTGGTTATGCTTAAGTTCCTGCTCTAAAACCATTCTTTGCTCTTCTAGCAATTGATTTCAAATATCTCATTCTTCCTGTTCCAGTTGATCTACGTCTAGCAACCTTCTCTCCCCATCCACTGTCTAATATTGTATTGATTCATTTAATACAAAGTCTCAATCTTGCAGCTGGGTATCCACATGATGCGCATCTGTTTTTTTAAATGTGGAATGTTTATCTACCACATCTCTTACAGAAAGTGTGAGTCTTTTGATGTCTTTTACCAATTGCTGGTGTACCTCTTGCCATTTGATTATTTAATAAAAGATTTAATTTTATGAAATAACTAAGAAAAATAGATCATAAGAAATCTTTTGTTATATAGGTAATATGAATTATTAGTTATAAACAATCCAGATCATCGTTAATCCAAAAGATTTCTTAATTAAAAATATACAATATGTTTATCTAAAACACATTCATTTTTTTTTGGTTTTTTATTTTAATCGATTTATCCATTCTTAAGAAACATTTATATCCATTTTTTCATAATTTGCTTTTGTCTAGAAATATTCTTCGAGGTTTTATTCAAATTTTTTATATTCATTAAGTTTTACATTACTTTCTTATTATACTTTCTTTCGAGTCACATTATTATTATCAATAAATACAGAACCATTTTCATTATTATTGTTATTAACTATGCTAGATAATCTCCATTTTTTAGTATCATCATAATTACTTAAGCAATCCTATTATTTCTCATTTATAAGATATATCAATAACTATAATCGTTCCTTAGTTTTAGAATATTTTTGAGTTTATGAATAAAACCTTTTATCTAATACTTACTTCAATTATATCAAAAAGTCCTATGTTTTACATCAGATTTTTACATTTACTTCTTAATTCTTCAAAACCACATTTGTAAAAGAAAATTTCATAAGTCTTAAACAATGAATTGATTAAGAAATCTTTTCTTTGTGAGAAAATGATTTCACTAATTCTTACAATTCTTTATGCTTTAACTAAGTTACCTTATAAGATTTTTCTAACTCTTTGATTATTGTTACATAATCTTTTAAATGCTTAATATCAATAGGTTTGGTAATTTAAGAAAATTACTTAATATGTTAAAGAATTTTCTAGTATATGATTTATTCAATACTTCCATGTAAACCCTAACAGATTTGTAAATTTAATCATAAAAGAAATCATATTATTCTATTTATTAGAATGTGTAAGTAAAGTACTTCTGCAATTCTTTATATGTATAGTTCTCCACAAATATTAATTCGATTATTTATGTCAAATAGTATTGTTATTCTATTATATCATAATTCGTTTCATCCGTTGAAGGTGTCTAACAACGAAGAATCTCATTGTTTAATGTACATTACATATTCATAATTTTTAAATACAAAAATAATTAAAAAATTCCACACCCTCAATAGGGATCAATTATAACAATTAAAATTATTCCTAACTTATCCACTTTGTATTCTTTCTCATATTTAACCTGATTAAAATAATAATAGACAATAAATATTTAATTTTGGCCTAAATTGGCTCAAAATACCTTTATATATATAAATAAATTTTCAACTTTCCTGTCTCAAAATTCTATCCAAACCTGTTAATTCTAATTCATCTGATATTATCTTATACTAAAAGATATATTAAATATAGATTTGATTATTTTTGCATTAGTTTGATCTTACTATTCCAACTATTAACAAGCCTATCATTTTATGTTATTCATCTTAAGTTTAGAAGATTTCAAAAACAAATTAATCATACATTTTCATATTAAAGTGTGGATTCTAACATTTTGATGATATATCTAAATTTACCTTTAGAAATGAATCCTTAAAAATTTATAAGAAAGACAGATTTCTACGAGTAAAAATTAAAATTTTTAAATTTATTGACTTTAAATAATTCTTCTTCTTTTTTAAACAATATAATTAAACATTTAAGAGATATTTATTCATACTTTACAATAAAATAATGCGAATTACCAATTTAATGCTATAAAGTAATAAAATCAAAGCCATTTAGGGTAGAAAAAAAAAGAAAATAAAGAAATTTTGCCTTCAAAAATCATCAATAATGAATCAAGTATTAATATTTAGTAGATATTTAAAAACAAATTATGGGATTTAGATTAAATAATTAACATTTTTTCGGCAACAATCAAAAAATATCTCTAAATAGAATTTTTGTTAGAATTTTCTCTTCTCTCTTTTGTGTCTTTCTTCTATCAAAAGTAGTCAAATTGAATTTTTTAATTAAAAAAATTAGTTGAAAAATACTAAAAAGTATCTTAAAATTTTGGTTTGCCCTTGAAGATTAAAAATTAAATAATGATATTTGGAAATTTAATTAACTTCTTTGAGAAAAATTTTAAATAGAAACATGATCTTATTTTGAGATCAAAGGAAGAATTAGTGTTCTTATAATTTCCTCAATTAATTTATTAAATTATTTAGGCTATAAAATCAATTTTTCTACTTTGAATACTATATTTTGAATGAATTTTCAATTTATAAGTTTAATAATAAAATTTTTATGAGAACTTCAAATTACTATTGAACAAAGTCAGTTATGTTCCTGAAACAATTACTATAAAATGCAAAAATCTTTGAGTATTTATTGCTCCTTCTCACTAATCCAATATAATTATTGATCAAAGATTGAATACCCCAAGTAATTTCGATACAAAGAAATGATTATCAAATGGCAGTCTAGCAGAATGCTTAAGCAAATTTAAATTACATAAATTCTTTTGCTATAACAATTTTGTGATATGCAAATTATGCTGAAACTGAAACCCTCAGAAATATAAATCTCAAAAATTAAACATTAATTCTAGTTCCTTCTAAGATTTCGTAAATTCATCAATCAATTAAAATTACAACCCTGTTACTCTCGCTATAGACATTAATAAACCCAAGATAAAGTTTACATAATGGGCATCATTTTCTGGTGTTGGAATTATATGGTATATACGATGAGGAGGAATGAATAAATAGAATTTATTAAGCCCTCCTTTAAGAAGAGACAATTTCTTCTTTCCATCATCTTATTCTTGTCTAAAATAAATAATCACAAGATTTTACTTTTATTATTAGTGCTATTAATATTAATTGTTGTTCTATTAAAACAGGGTCATCTGTTTAGATATAATTGTTATCTTTTAAATTAGAATGAATATTCTTCTCTTCACATAAGTTAAATGCTCATCAAAACTGTAATATTCTTCTTCTGCACTAAGACCAAACTATTCCATTATTTTAGATTTTAAATTTTCATTATTAAAAATAAAGATTTAATTAGCAAAATAGATAACCAACAAGATAACTTCTGTTCCAATATTAAAAAATCTAGAAATATACATATTAATAGAATAAAGAGTGATAAATTATAAAAAAAGCCTCTCTTACTGTTATCAGTGTATCAAACTCTCCATAAGGATGAGTGGGATTTGTAAAGTGTATAAGAGAATACAAAAAATATAATAAATTAATCTGATCCAATAATTGTGGAAATAGGTAAATCTGACTCACAACGAAAAGTGGAGTAAAAAGCACAAAATTAGAAATTTAATTGAGTTTAAACAACTATGTAATATTGCCTTATATTATTCTTAATTTTCATTATCCTATTTAAATTATTGAAATTAGTCCATCAAGTTAATTCAAAATCTTTGAAATAAGCTAAGTAAATTTTTTTCTTTGGATATAGTATATCAATCCAAAAAAGTAAAGTACTCCAATAATGTAATTAATAATCTCTCCAACTTAGTGTTCTAATTTATTAGGAACTAATATCTCATTTTATTATTATATTATAAATTATTTTTTATTATACTATCCAATTTTTGCTTATAATTAAATTCCATAAGATGTGCATCTTTTTCAACTAAAATGAGAATTTTATTTCAGAAAAACATACACATTTTGGTATTTCAGCAAAGCTCATTTCTTCATTTGATATTTCAATCGATATAAAATTGCTTTATAATATTTAATATGAAATAAATGAATGATAAGGGTTATATATTTATTTATTGAACACAAAATATGAATATTTTCATTCGTTTTATTACTAGAATTATTCCTTCTACTATTAAAAAATTTATTATCCAAGAGGTTTAAGGGAGTCTTCAAAAACGGAATTCAATTATTTAAGATGTTCACTGTTTAAACACGTTACATCAACAAGAGCTGCAGAAACCAAATATGGATCAATATTAGCTGCTGGTCTTCTATCTTCAAAATATCTAACACATATATAAATTTTAAATACCCTTATCCTTATTCCTTTGTGATGATTGGTACTCTTACAGAACATCCTCTTGATCCATCTCCCCAAGTGAATTGGTCATATTTTCCAGTCTCATGTCTACCTGTTAGTCTAAGCTCATTCTTTTATCCATATAACTTAATCATTTCTAGATGATTCTCTTTTAGAATAGGCATTAATTTATCTACAATATATCTATATCCTCCTTCAGATCTGGTTGTAACAGTAGAATAATTGCAATGAGCTCCACTGCCATTCCAATCTCCTAATATTGGTTTTGGATCATAGTTGATATCAATTCCAAATTCTTCTCCAATTCTTTCCAAAATATATCTTGCCAACCACATATGATCTCCTATTTCAATACCTTCAGCAATTCCTATTTAAAATTCCCATTATGATGGTGCAACTTCAGCGTTCAATCCAGCAATTTTTAATCCAGCATTCAAACATGCTCTTAGATGAGCCTCGGCTAAAGCTCTTCCAAAATTATTTCTTTCGCCAATTGAGCAGTAATATCTTCCTTGTGGATAAGGAAAGCCTCCTGTTGGCCATCCTAATGGCCATAAATGTGTTGTTCCTGTTCTTTTTAATAAGAAATATTCTTATTCAATTCCAAACCATGGTTTATGATCTTTGGCTTTCTCCATAATTTAATTTGCAATCCATCTAAGCAAATAGTTTAGGTTTGAAATTACCTAAAGTTATATCTTGCTGGTGTTTTTTTATCAGGAAGGTATGTTTCACACAACACAAGAATATGAGGATCTCCTCTAAAGGGATCCTTTACTACTCGAACGGGTTTTAAATAAATTTCAGAAAATCTAGTCACTGCTTAATCAGTTGATGACCCATCATATGTCCACCATTCTAAATCTTCAAGACTTTTTATTTAAGTTTAATAAACCTAAAATATTTTTACACGTGTGAATTACTTTTGTTTTTGATCTTAACGATTCTCCTGTTCCATCAATCCAAATGTATTCAGCTAATACAACACTATTATTCACATCTTTTGTCAATTAGTAATAGTTAAAGTCACGTAGATTTTCAATGGTTTCTGTCATGAAAAATTTGAAATAATAATTGGAACTTTAAATAAATATGAAAATTCTTATCCTTAATTTATATTTATATAGATTTAGATTTCACCCTCATTTCTTTTTTTTTGGATACTTTTTTTTATAATCCTCTACATTTAATTCCATTGCATCCTTGACTTAATTCTTAAATTAGAGCTATTACGATTTGCTTTATTACAATTTCTGTAAAAACCTCATTTCTTATTCTTCAAGAGCTTTGATTTCTTATTCTTAACTATATAAATCCTATTAAATCAACAACTTTTGAAATTAAGTTATTTTCTGAAAATTTTCTTATTTAATTTGTTAAAATTCTTTTATTTTCTACTAAGCTTACTTTTCCTCATTTAATACTTAACATCTAATGATAATAAACTTTAAAGTACTTTTTTTATATTTTTTCATTCATTTGCTAATCCTTATTCTTTTTTATCATTAGTTTATCCTATTGATGAAGCTATTTTATTTAATACGCTTATTCTTTCTTTTCTTATTAAACATGCTGTCTAGCAAATTTCAATGCTTCATTTGAAGAAAACTAAATAAAGTTCTTTTTCTATCTTTTTGCATTATATTCTTTTTCCTTTTCACTTTAAATAAATTATTTATACTCTTATTCCTTATAATTAATAAATATACTTTCTATTTTATATCTTCATAGAGTCTTTTTGATTCCTCTACATTTTTGAGTAGTTTTGACTTAAGAGGATTTGCTCTTTACTCAATATTTTGTGATTCTTTTTATAAAAGAGCCACCCTCTCTTTGAGCAATATTATTTCATATAACTTTTAGTTCTTTAGGTGTTTTAATGCTGTACAAGTTATGTTCTCACTTTAAGAGGTTCTCATTATTATATAATTAATAATTTAGAATTAACGATTTACAAAACACATAATGGATTAAATCAATCAGCTTAAGGAATAAATACTAATGCTCTAGCAGAATGAGAAAGATTACTAAGATTTGAATTTCTTATTCACAAATTTAGAACATAGGTATAATCTTTTAGCTGAAGAAAAATAGAGAATGGAAATTGATTACAACCACAGACATGAATTTATTATGCAAGCAGTTGCAAGACATAGAGCAGAAATTGATTAATTGAGAAATGAATTAATATCTTGTTAAAATAATTAGGAGTAGATGGAATATTTAGGTTATGAAAATCAAGCATTGACTGATGAAGTAAATAATTTAAGGGAAGCTTATACAAAAATAATTTAATAATAAGTTTAGGATTAAGATGAAAAATATTTAATAACTTTAGCAACTAAATAATAATATATAGAAAGCTTATAATTTCAAATTAAATAAATGAATGACATTTAGACTCATGAAGATAAAAAGTGTTAAGCTGAAGATGAGATTAAATAAAACTATGTAAGTGAAATGGAATCTTATAAATTCTAAAATGAAAAACTTAGCATAGATAATAAACAGTTAATTAAATAAATTGAGAGTTTAGAACTTTAAATTCAAAATTATAAAGATTAACTTAATTAAATGACCTAAGAATTGGAAAGATGTATAATTAAATGAGCCTATTAAATAAAGAATTAGTTATTAAAATGCATTATATTTTGTTTATTTTAGAAAACTTCTGCAAAAGAATACTAATTAGATCATGAACTTAAATATTTAAAAAATATGAATATATAATTGATACAGAAAAATGATCATTAATAAAAATAGATAGAATAATTAATTTACAACAATTAATCGCTAATTATTGAATATGAAACTTTGAGAATATAATTTGCTGATTAGGAGAACTCTAAATTGATGGTCTAAAATTAATATGCTAAATCTTTAAATAAATTTTAAGAAGAAAGAAAAGTAAAAAAGATTACTTATGTAAGTACATCTTTTATAATTAGAAAGATAAAAAGTATTAAGAGAGACTAGACTATAGAATGAAAATGATGTTAGCAAATGTTTAGAAGAAATTACTAGATTAAATAATAAGTGATTCTAATAAATTATTTTAAAAACGAATACCTATATTATAATATCTATCATTTCATTAATGATTACACTAATTAATATTCAAATGGTATAAAAAGACCTATTATTAAATTTGTAAGTTAAAAATATAATTTCCAATTTTATCAATTGTAATAAAAACTTTCAGAAAAAAAATATAGATTATAAATTGAAAATTAACAGTAAATATCAAAAATCTAAGATAAATAAATCCAGATTTTAAGGAGTTCAATGGACAGTAAGTAATTTGTTAAACGATTTAATATCATACATTAAATGAGAAGCAGATCATGGATTTACACTTTTTTGCAGAAGACAACTTAGTTATCTCTAATTTGGTTTATTGATGGGGAATATCCCAACAATGAAACTTTGGAAAAAAATTAATGTTCAATTTTATTAGATTAAGTAGAAAATATATCTATGTTATAAAAAGAGATCTATTTGTTTTATATTAAGAGTTGTAAATCCAGAATTAATAAAATACTCAAATTGAAATTTATATAAATTAGTAGATAATTTAAATATAAAAATTAATTCTTATTCCAAATATTTAATGGAATTAAAGGTTGCTAATTAATATTTTTGAATCAAATGGATGATTAACACCATAGACTATGAAACTATTTTCTTTAGATATGCTGAAAATTCTGGAAATTAATCTGAAAATCAGTATCTTAAATTCAATTTAAAAACGAAAATTTAATGAAAACTTAGCCTATCTAGAAGATTTATTTTCTTCCATAGTAGTTAAATTAAAGTATAAATTAAATCAGGATTACATTTTCCCTTGAAAGATTTAGATTGAAAGTTATAAATCAAAAAATTATACTCACTAACAAAAAAAAAAGAATAAATAAATTGGAACATAAATATAGAAAATCGAAAATCTATCAAGCTTTTATTGTTATAAATTGTTTGAAGAATTTAATTCTTCATTTTAAACATATGCTTAAAAAATATTATTAGTAAAAATTGAAGAATTAGGTCGTTAACTAATGCAAGAAGAAATGAGGAATAATAATAAAATATCAATACTATAAATTATTCAATAGAAAATACAAGTTTTTAGCTATAAATATTTCTGAAAATAAAAATAAGGAGCATATAAATCAATATTGAAAAAAAAATATAAATGAATAAACCAGAAACTACAGAATAAACTTTATCATAGGAATCTTTTTTATCATATAAATTAAGTTAGAAGCTACTTTAGATTGTATAAGGAATCAACATCAGTCAGATAAAATCAATATTTTAAAAACAGATTCATTAATTAAGTTTTGTTGATAAAGTATTTATAATTAATTTTTCACTATCAATTTAATCTCTCAACATAATTTATAAAATTAAGTATAAGGATGTGGTTTTGTGCTTAAGTAATTTTTGATCTCTGGAGGAGGTTATAATCCATTAACAACTGCTCTATTGTATCTAATAATTCATGAAATTCAACATTACCTATCTTCTCTGGTCATGCCAGAATATGGGCCATATTTGGAATCCCAATCAAACTAATCAATTAGATTAGAAATTTATCTTTAGGAAGGCTATTTTTTATGAATTCTTGACTGTAGTTCCTCAAAAGTACAAGTTCTCGAATAATCGTCATTCATTTGTTAAATAAATTTATTAATAAACTTCTAATAATAATTAAAAACAATTATAAAACAAGAAATAAAATTCTCATTTTTTATTTAGAAATTAATAAAGATGAATAAAGTGAATAAGTCTTTTGAAAATTCCAGTTCTTTGGTAATTGAAATCAACTATAAAATTTCATATTGATTTTCTTTCTTTATAAATAGAGGTTTGCATAAATAAACTGTAATTAATAAAATTTTAAGCTAAAAATTTTGATTTTTCATAAAAAGATTGTTTTTATAAGGAATAGGTTGATATTTGAAGTTTGTTTTAGTTCCTTCAATTTATTTCGTATCAAGACATAAAGGCAGGAAATTCAGACCCTTTTACGACTCTATACCTTCTTTAGTAGCTTTTGATTAGTACTTGAACCATGAGTGAATTGAATAATAGAAAGTGAGATCATACTTGGAGAAGAACATTGACCTTATGTAACTGAATAAATAATGGAGGATTTAATGGATCAACCAAGAAGTCTAAGTCTTAATGATTTAGTAATAAATTATAGGAATAATCACTGGAGATACATATGACCAATTTCTCAAGGATTAAAGTGAGCTACATTCTCTGAAATGTGTATAATTCCAGATTTAAGTTAATCATCAGCAATGTCTATATAATTTGAGGAATGAAAGAGAAATATTATATTTAATTTAATGAATATTCAGTCCAAAAATTAAACAATATATCAAAATCTTGCTATTCTTTAGGAATTAATTTAAGACCTCATGATTATTCATGATTATGATAATCATATTAATATGAAATTCAATTACAGAGTGTAAATGCCTTCACATGACTATTGGAATTTACCCTTAAATTAAGTATGAAAGCTTAGATCAAATGATAGTTTACTAAAAAAGTTTAAGTGACTCGTCACCCCTATAGCTTTTTGGTAAAATAATATTTATGGTGTTTTAGCATACTCATAGAGTATAAATATCAATATATTAGTCGGTCAATTTCATATATATATGTATTTCAATGAAGAAAAACGAATATTAACTGGGAATCAAATATAACAAAAATATATAATTTAATAAAAAGATATAACTTCCTTCCAATAAATAATAATTAATATTTGTTCAATTTGTAAAATATTTAAATTAATTTTAATAATTAAGAAATTGAAAAGGAGAAATTAGACAATTATACTTTTAATTTAATTGATTGAAAGATGGTAAGTTTCTATTTATATTGAGAATATTTTCTTTAAAATTTAAGTGAAAATTATTGAATTCCGAAAAATTGTTTAAACTCGAACAAAATTATATAAATTTTTAATTAATTATGTAATATTATGGTTAACTAATAATTGGGCCTGCAGGAAGTGGAAAAACTTCTTATTGTAATATTTTGCAAGAAGGTTCTTTTAAAAGGAACATTGAAGTGGTCAATTTAGACCCTGCTGTTGATTTTATTCCATATAAATGTGCAGTTGATATTAGAGAATTAATATGTTTGAGTGATGTGATGGAAGAACTTGGGTATGGTCCAAATGGTGGTTTAGTCTATTGCATGGAATATTTATTATAAAATTGGAATTGGAAGTAGGAATAATTAAACAATATTGCTTAAGATGACTATGTTTTATTTGATTGTCCAGGTTAAATAGAATTATATTCACATATTGATATGATGAGAAAATTAACATAATTTTTAGTATATTCTGGATTTTCAATTAGTTCTGTTTATTTGGTTGACATTAACTTTATTGAAGATGATGCTAAATTTTTATCTGGCCTTTTAATCGCTTTGTCGGCATCAATGACTTTGGAATTGCCTGCCTTTACTGTACTTTAAAGTGTGACCTTATTTAAGACAAAAAGAAATTAAGAGATATATAAAGCTTCATAAATTCAACTAATAAAGTGAGTATGCAAACTAGTATGAATTCTCAAAATCCTTTAAAATTTTACTTAAAAGATAAGTGAGTTGGTTACTAATATAGGGATTGGAAGACTTCTGTATTTAGATATTAGTGATGATGAAAGCATTGACAATTTATTAGGAGAAATTGATTATGCAATCTAATTTGGAGATAATTTAGAACGTGATGATAAATCATATGATCACCCTGAACAATAATTATGAATTTTGTATTTAAATCTTTACCGAAAGATAATTTTTTATTTATAAAATTTTGAGCTCGCTTAAAGATTTTAATTAATTTTTCCTAATTATAAATCGAAATTTCTTCCCCATTCTTATATTTAAGATATTTTATTTTGGATTTAATATTGCTGAAAAAATTGATTCTAAATTTTTTTTCTTCTTAAAATTAATCATCATTAACGAAAATTTTATTTCAGAAATAAGAATTCCTTAAAAATCTTTTGACTTTTGTTATTTCAAAGTGATAACACTATACGTTCCTTTTATAATATGATTAAAGGATTTTGAAAATCTAGCCATCTTTTCACTTATTTGCTCTTAAATCACTCACTAGAAATTACAGAGCACTGTTACGATTTTCCAACTATGCTTGTATTAACTTTAATTTCTCATTTGTTATGAATAATTTAATGAATTTTGTTGGATTATTGAAAAAGTGATCATAATTGCTTTTGCCAACTTATTTTATATAAATTTTGTTTCATTTTCTCCCTAAAATATTATTAGAAAACTCAAATATTGATTACATGGATAATGAGAATAGAGAAATAACTTATTTTCAGCAGAATAATAAAATTATTTAACATTTGATTTTATAATATAATATGTGATTATGTGTTATTACAATTTTATAAAAAAAAATTTTCAGCAAAATTCTCATTTAAAAGATCATATTGATGTTTTAAGAATCATTAATTATTTTATTAAATGAACTAGATCGATCAAAATGATGAAGAGTATTAGAAATATCTATAAAAAATTGGAATGGTCCCAAATATTTAAGTTAGTAAATATTAAAGATTTAATAATCAAAGTAACAGCACTGTTTAACAGATGTCTTTACAATTTAATAAGCATTACGAAAAGGAACCAATTTTTTAAACAATTAATTCAATAAAAATTCTAAATAATTATTGTAAATCTGATTTTCGCGCTAAAAAATATTCCGCCCATTTATAAAATTTTAAATAAGATGATGAAAAATTCAATTAGATGAAATCATAATCAAATCTCTGTTCTAAGAAAAGAAATACGATAAATAATCCATTTACTACTTCAACATTGATTGAAGATACAACATCCAACTCATCTCAATACAATTTGAAACTGGATTTATATAGCCCACATTCAACTCTTGATTTTACAAATAATAACATTTTATAATTACCGAAATTTCAGTTGGATTGTGTCTAATCTTTTGAAAAAAATTATTCTTCTTCCTCTGTAAATCAGGAAGAGATTAATTCAAATGATAATACTTAAAATAATATAGAATTAAGTTTTAAAAATGAATCCAAAAACCAAAAAAACATAGATTCAAATAAATAGCTTACCTATGACATATAAAATAAATAAATTGAAAATCTATAATCTTGTAATCTTAATTTTATTGATGAGCAATAAGTTTATTCAAATAAAGACCCCAAATAAAATTTGATTTTAATTTAGAATGAGGCAATGGTGAAAAAATAACACGAAACTCAACTTTCTTTTTTGCCTATGAATCAGCAAGAAATTAGTTTAAATAAAAAGAAGGTTATAACAAAAAAGCAAAAAGAAAAATAAAAGAAAAGCAGAAAAATAAATAAAATAAAGAGAAGATAAAAAAGAAAAATCCAGTCTAAAAATCATGATGATATGAAAAAAATTATACCGAATTAATTTTTTAGCTTGGATTTAAAACTAATTAAATAATAACAATTTGATACAGATTAGGAAATAAAGAAAAATTAACAAATAGAAAATCCAGTTTGTAAAATGTTGAAGAAGATTATTTTTGAATTTTCAAAGATACCTAAAATATAGAATAAGAAAAGTCAAAATCTCCTTTATAAGTAAATTATTAAGTATATAATTTTATCATTAATTTAGAAAAAGAAAGAATTTAAAAAGAACTCAAAAAATTTATAAAAGAAAATATTGATAATTAATATTAATAGTATAATTTATCATGATATTTTTCATTCAATTTAATGTTTTTATTTTCATTCTAAAATGATTATCTAAGATAATTTCTGTTGACAAAAGTTCTCTTACTTGATGAATTTGAAACTAATATTATATTAACTTTTTGATACAAAATTTCAAAGAAGTTTTTGATGTAATGAAAAACTTGTAAATTGTAGTTTGCTGGTAAATTATATAGAGATTAGCAAAATTTATTTACGAGACTAATATGTAATTTAATATAGCAGCCTTAAAATAATTTATCAAAAATATTTTCAAAAGGTGTTTAATTTTAAGTGATAAAGGATTTATTCTTGTAATTATTAAATGGAAAAATTAGGATTGAAATAATATCTTCAATATTTCAACTGAAAGTATGTTATTGATTAACAAATAAATTAATAAAAAGAGGAAAAAAATATCAAATCAAGTTGTAAATCCTCTTTAATTAATAATCTATGAAATTTGCTATAAATTTAAATTCATAAACTATAATCTGTTATTTAACAAAAGCTAAAAACACTTAAACTGTGTAATTGTTTAAATATGAGCAATATAATTAGAATCAAACTTTATCATATATATAGAGAAAATTGATATTAATTGATTAATTCTTGAAATAATTTAGTAAATATTAATGAAAAGGGAAAATTTATTCTTCATAAACTTATAAGTTTTAAATTAACATTGAATTTTAATTTAGTGTTTTGTATTTCCTAAAAAAATAACCAGTATCAAGAATAAGATCTTGATGTAATTATATATATTAAATAATAAAATTTGCAAGATTTTTCTAAATAGCTTTAAATAATTTAAATTAAAATTTTATGAGATTGAATAATCAAAGTAATAAAATAAAAAAGAATTTCGCTCGATCTGTTAAAAAAAAAGTAGGTAAAATTAAGAAGTAATTAATTTAAATCGAGTCATTACATAATAAAAATGAATCATACTTCACTCAAATAAAAGAGAAAGATTAATTATTATTTGTTTTTGAATAATGAATAATAACTAATGGCATTTAGATTGAAAGAAGTAGAAAATAATCTTTTTATTAAATTAGGAAATTAACTTAGTTTAAAAATCATTAGTTTGATTTACAAGAAAGAATATTTCTTAAAATAACACTGACTTATATTTTAATTTAAGAGGCTTGAATTTAACAATTTAATACAATAAAGTATTGGATGTAATTCGAAATAACTAAATTTACAAACTTTGCTAAATAATTGCAGAAGATTAAAAATAAGAGTTTTTTGAAACTTTAATTTCAAACTAAAATTTCGTTGGTAAATATCATTAATAAAAAGAATCCTTTATGACTTTTCTTTTATATAAGACTAATAACTTAAAAATTTTAAAAGCCTAAAGAGAAAGATTGTAAAGAAAAATCTATAACTTTAACGTAAATGCTCTCTAAATTTGTTTAAATGCAATTTTGGCAAACATAAATCTCCAAATTATCAAATGAAAAATATTATGGTAATAAAAGGGACTCATCTTAAGTTGTTCCTTCTTAATTTAAATAGATCTCTAAAGAGCAAAATAAGTATTCACTCCCAATACAATTCACAACATATTTATTTATTCTCAAAGAACTAAATATCAATATATGATGGAAATACCATTTAAACATTCATTTTCTCATTCAAAAAATTCAAATTCACATTTAATAGATTTACTATTTTTTATTCAATTCAATTTTGAATTTTCATAAGATTAACATTTTGATTCATTAGTAGTGTAAAATCGACATAAGCACATATTAAATTCTGGATAATAAATTCGATTAGATTCTTTGGTGCAAGATTAACAGTCTCTTTTTAGTTGAACCATCATAATCATAGCAGCTAAAGTGGCAAATTATACATTAAAATTATTTATTGCAATTCAAAAAAGCAAAATTTCTGATAAAGGGATTTAAGTAATTTTTATGATATTAAAGATAATTTTCAAATTGCAATTTCAATTAAAGATTATGAAATTACCTTACTTCTATTATTTTGTTAGATTCAAATACACTTGATTGATATCATTTTTTAATTTCAATCAATTCTTCGATTAGATATGGAGTTTCTTAATTATCAATGGAGACTTAAGGAAAAGAAGATTTATATGATGTAAAAACTATAAAATTTTATGTTCTTGAAATTTGAGAACCATATAGTAATTGATAGATTTAAATTAGATAAAGAGTTATCAAAATTTGCAGGCTAATTTTCTAATTAATGTGTGAACTCTTATAGAGTGGATGAGATGCAACTCATATTTTCTGATGTGTATATATTTTTATCTAACCATTTTATATCTGCATCAAAAATTAAATAGTTTATATTTAACTTGCAATTATAAGAATCGAAATTCTCCATTGCTTATTGCCTTTAATTTTGTGTGGAAATTAAATTTCATATTATAAATTTTTCCTAAAAATATGTTACTTAACAAAATTATTTCCTTCTTTCTTAAAAAGATTATTGATTCTTTTACTATCAATTTCCTTCAAAAGTAAATATGAAACCATAAATTTTAATGGAAATTTTCTTACTATTTTTTCAGGAAGGCGTTTTTAAAAATTCAATTCTTATTTACTTTTTTAAGACTGTCCAAAATTTTAATAAAAAATACCAAATATTCTCGTGTTCCAACAAATCCATTTGAATAACAAATTTATGATGATTTTTCTCATTATCAGAGAATTTTATCGTTTTTTTTTAATTTATTTCTAATTATAATTAAAATCATCATAATAAATGAGATTTACACTAACCAGTTTTAGTCAATGTTATGTATATTGAAGCAATTGTTATCAAATAATCCAATATTACATACTTAAGATATTGGGCTTAAAGGATTTTATTTAGACCATACTCCATAAAAATAGTAATCCTCTAGACAAAATATTTATACCATCAATAACAATCAATTATTTTTATATTTAGTAATATTTATCCATTTCTACAATCTCAATTGCAAAAGATTATTGAAAATATTACTAGAAAATATAAAAAAGAAATCATAATATTGTTTTGTCTATAATCTTAAATAAATAAAAATAATTGTCATTCATTTAATTTTTTAGTATATTTTTCTGAATATTATTACCACATTAAATTATATTTCTAACTTATATACATTAACTTAAGTACTATTCTTTTGTTTTGGTAATCAATTGATCTTATATAAATAAAATCATCAGTATTGTTATAAACAATATAATCCATTATATGATAATCTTTACTCTTTAAATTAAAACTTAACAGTAAAGCAGCCCAATTTCATAAATCAAAAGTTATCAAAACAATATTTGTTTAAAGAATTTATATATGATGAATATAATAAAAAAATTAAATAATTGATATGATATATATTCTATTCATAATTTTTCTAGATTGAATTTTAGAATAATTATATTTCTAAATATAAGATTTAGATTAGTCCATTAATAAACTAATATAATTTAAAGTACATAGAGAAATTTCCACGTTCATTAAGCATTTTGATACTTTTTCGTTGATATGAATTTGTAATCTCAAAATATCTGACCTTAATATCAATTCATGTTGAAAATTCATTTAAATCTTCATCAAAAATAACTCTGTAGCAATTATTATTCTATCAAGAATTTAATCAATACCAATATTTTCAGCCATTAGTTTTCTTTAAATTTTGTAATACAAAAGGGGATAGTTAGAGATGTCTAAAGATTTTTAATTTAATTCTTGTAATCTCTAATAAAATAGATGGATGAAATTTATAAATAATCTCTATTTTAGCTAAAATAATTATTCCAGGCCCTCGATTCTACCACCCTCTCTAGTAGGTCTTTTATATTAAAATAATGCAGTTGCTCTATAACTGTTAGCCGAGTGCTTAGGGAGAGTTGATTTTAGGTTATAGTAGTTTTGTGTTTGGATGGGCTTGAGGATTCCAAGATTGAAAGTTCGCAATAATGAACCTATCTTAGATAATAAAGATACGAGGAATCATATTAAAACGATCCAGATTTTTGGTTTTGGTAAGGAAGAAGTAATTATTTTTATTACAATTTACATCTTAAGTTGAAAAATTTATGAAAAATTTTCTTAGGGAGAGTTTATACAGCCTTTTTAATAGCCTAAGAATTTTTTCTTCTATTGAAATAAAACAATAATTTGTCATAATATACGACTAAGAGTATTAATCATTAATTAGCTGAGATGAAATGAAATAGGGTTAATGTCTATATCGAGATGTGAGAAAAATAGATGAGAATTTAAAGAATTATCTTAGGGAAAGGTTTGTTTAGATCTTTTTAAAACTATTAAGTATTCTTCTTTAAAATATGTATCTAAAAACTGTGAGTTCATATAAGAAATACTGCTCAAATAATTTGGCAACTCTAGCTCTAAAGGGAATAGGAAAAATAATTTGAGAAATGCATAAGCTCCTCAATTTGACAAATCTATATTTAAGCATAAACAATATACTTTTACTCAAAGCAGAAAAAATTAAGGATGACACAAGGTTCACTAGTAAGAAAATTACATAAACTGCAATTTTTAAACTTTAGAATGACATCATAGTGTCATTTAATAAAACAATAGGATATCTAACGTTTAGTTGCTTTTTAAATCAATAAGTTTGTATATATTTATACAAGAAACCAGCCTTGCCCATTTTAATTTGCTTAATGAATTCTTCCAAAACAACCTAATAATTAACTAATTAAATGAAGTATCAAATATAATTTTCGTGGTGATTTTTAAGTTCGTGATATAAATTCTGAACGACGGATTGTTCATTTAATATGATGTATTATAATTAAATCATTGTTTATTAGGATTTAAGGATTTTTTTAGTATATAGAATATGATTCTCTATTAAAACTTTGAGAAAATTCTAAAAATACCTAATATGACCAGCAAGATTTCTTTATTCCTAAAATTATTGTTATGATTGATCATTAGTGATTTAGCTCAAAGTATTCTCATCCCATTAGGGGATCTATCAATCTATATTCCCTTTATGATTAGCAATTATTAGAAAATTACCAAACAAGCATCTTTCTCTCCTATGTTGTTTAGTGATTTAAAAATATCCTCTAAACAAAATACTGAAAACAGGATAATAAAAAGCCAAATTAAATAATCATACTTGTACTGTAATGTCAGTCTGTTTCTCTCCTGATGGAAATACATTAGCTTCTAGTAGTAGTGATAAGTCTATCCGTCTATGGGA